CCACCCAGGCGTCCCCTTAGATTGCTTTTCATTCAGAAAGTCTATTTGGACCTTTGAGTTAATAATTTTGCAAACAAGATATTTCTGCAATTTGTGAAAATTCTATATTTATTACTTCTCTGTCCCTCTGAGACTACTGTAATTCACCTTAGAACATGCACAACTTTTGTCATCTTCAAATTTAGTTTATATTTGTTGGCTGTACAAAAGAAGCAGAACCAAAGAATTTTAGTTTGGAAGAAAACTCATTTAACTTATTCTCCTTTGCTGGAATTTGCTTCATGGGATGCCATTGCTCTGAATCTTCCCTCTGAGAGAGAAGGAGTAACCCTTCCAAGGCTCAGTGGTTTTCTGATGAAACACACAACTTTTCTCTTGAATTCACTTGACTCTTTTTTTGAAACTTAAGAACTTAAATTTTGTTTGTTTATTTGATATGTAAAAATAACTCTGAACATTTAAATAGCTCATGTTTTAAGGCGTTTCCTTCATGCATCCAAACAACAATTATATAATTTAGGTACTTACACTAATCTTCGTATTTACTTTGCCACCATTCTGTGTTAAAATGCATTAAAGCCCGTGGTTGGTAGTTATGGGAGGGAAGGACCTAGTTTGACTTGCTAACCTCTTCATCACTGACCTCCTGAGGTATCTTGATTTTGCTCATTAATTTTTAAAATCGCAAAGAAACATTTTATACAGATGGGGCTTTTAATTTGAAAAGAATGGAGATTACTTCTGAATAACTTATACCAGAAAAAGGGAGATGAGGGAAGATCTGAGCCTCAGAGCCAGGTCTGAGGAAGATGGCATTCAGGGGTACCCCCGTGCCTCATCCTCAGGAATATTCTTGCTGACAGCATCCTCTCCCAATTTTGGCTACCTCTTCTCAGGTTGGCTTGACTCACTGGGTATCTTTTGGCAGTTTGGGACTTACTTTTGTTCTCAGGCTTATTGAGAACCCATCTGCCTTTCTTGTTTTTCTCCCACAAATAGATTGATTTAATTTCAGAGCTGGTAGTGTTTTCCGCTGCAGCATTCATATTTTGGGTTTGTTGGGATGTTTTCTAGGGTGGGTAGTGATACTCAGGTTTGCTGTTGTTGCTTGCACTGTTGTTTTACGGAGATTGAAAAATTGTGTCATTACTATCATTCCCAGACTTCCAGAACAGAAGTCTCTCCTGTTTGTTTTTCAGTCTACTGAATCTTGACTTGATTCCGTTTTGTTTCTAATGTTATTTGTTTGTAAACTTCCTGCTAACTAATCTTGCAAGACATCTGTTGATGTTATCCATCCTGGTTTTGCTTGTCCTCTATTATGTCACTGTGTTCTGTTTCGTTTTGTGGATTTGTTGGGAAATTTCCTGCTTTCCTTAGTTTTCTGCTATCTTTACGTTGAAATTCTTGATTTATATGTTTAGCTCATTTATTTTCAGTTTTTCTTTTTTTCTTTTTATTTTTTTAAGATTTTTATTTATTCATAGACACACACACACACACACACACACACACAGAGGCAGAGACACAGGCAGAGGGAGAAGCAGGCTCCATGCAGGGAGCCCGACGTGGGACTGGATCCGGGCCTCCAGGATCACACCCCAGGATGCAGGCAGCACTAAACCGCTGTGCCACAGGGGTTGCCCAGTTTTTCTTTTTTTAAAGAAGATATATTTATTTGTTTGTGAGGGAGAGGCAGAGGTGGAGGGAGAGACTCTCAAGCTGGCTCTCCATTGAATGCAGAGCCCCATGTGGGGCTCGATCTTCTGACCCTGAGATCATGACCTGAGCTGAAATCAGGAGTCCTTTGCTTAACCAACTGAGCCACCCAGGCTTCCCTCAGTTTATTTTTAGTGTAAATATTTGAAGTTGTAAAAGTTCCTGTAAGTATGATTGTTGCTTTATCTCACAAGTTTTGGTATTTTTTCATTATTTAATCTCATATATTTTCAGGGCACCTGGCTGGCTCAGTTATCAGAACATGTGACTCTTGATCTCAGGGCTGTGAGTTTGAACCTTATGCTGTGTGTGTGGAGCCTACTCAACGAAATATATATTTTTTTCTGATTTAATGATCATTCTTCTTTAATCCTTGAGTTCTATAAAAACATGCTTTTACCCTTTCATGCATATGATATTTCCCTGGATTTCTTTTTGTTACTGATTTCTAATTTGATTCCTTTATGATTGGAGGAAAGGATCTGTGTGGTATTGTTTCTGTGGGATTTTTTTTTTTCTTAATTCATGAAAGACACAGGCAGAGACATAAGCAGAGGGAGAGGCAGGCTCCTTGCGAGGAGCCTCTGGATCACGCCTCAAGCCAAAGGCAGACGCTCAACCACTGAGCCATCCAGGTGCCCATATTCTTTGGGATTTTTGAGATTTAATCTGTGGTCTGCTTTCTGTGCACTTTTTGTAAATGGTCAGTGAGTGCTTAAAAGGAATATGTATATGTCATGTAAAGGATATAAGGGTCTGTGTATTGCATGAGATCAAGTAAATTATTGAACTCCTTTTTCTTTATCTGGTCTGTGAATTGCTGAAAAAGGCTTCATATATTTTTATAGTAATAAATAATACTTATATGGTACTTACTACATTCCAGACACTATTTTAAGGGCCTTATATATATTAAATTACTATGGTGGTCATTTTTTCCCTTAGAGCTGTTACTTGTACTTTATATATTTTGTGACTGGGTACATTTGTCACTAGGTGCTTAACATCTGGGAATGGGAGTTTCTTATCATTGAATATTAACTTTATTTATCTCTAACACTATCTTTAACTGTAAAGTCCTTTTTTTCTGAAATTGATGTTGATACACAGGTTTTTTCTCTAGTTAATATTTGCTTTGCATATCCTTTTCATGCTCTTTTGTATGTCCTTTTATTTACAGTGTGTTTCATATACAGCCTATGGGTGGATTTTTTTTCCTTAAGGTTTATTTATTTAGTTTGGAGATAGAGAGTGGGAGGGAAGGAGGGAGGGAGAAAGAGAGAGAGAGGGAGAGAGAGAGAGAGAGAATCTCAAGCCCACTGCCTGGAGCCTACCCTGGGCTTGAACCCAGACTCTAAGATCATGACCTGAGTCAATATTAATAGATGCTTAACCAACTAACTGAACCACCCAGATGTCCCTTGGTGGATTTTGTTTTTATCTAATTTTATCCAAGAGTGGTAGTATGGTGTGATGGTCAAAACAAGAACCTGAAGGTCAGATTGCTTGGCTTTCATTGTTGCCTGGAATGTTGATATGTGGCAGCTACAGTTCTGTTCTTGGTATGGGAAGCATTTTGGCTTCCCTTTATTTAGATTTTAACCTTTCCCCATGTTTTATGCTCCATATCTGATGCTCACTGTCCCAGAAGTGAATGAAGTATGTGATCTGTTTAAGTTCTGATTCTCTTTAGGATTCTGGTTTTCCTCTTTCAATATCCCTGCCACATGCCCTTTATGTTGTTTGCACTACTCTGTCTACTTTCTATCTCAGGAAAATGAATTGAAGTATCCGTAAATTTGTCATAGTAAGACTGCTTCTTTGTAGGACTGTTTGAAATTAAGTGTAAGTCATAGGTATAAAAATCTTTGAACAGTACCTGGCAAATTAGAAGTGCTTGGAAAGATTTGTTCTTATTTTATCCTTGATATTAATATTATAGTTTGACTTTTAATGCTCTTGGCTACTCTGAGTATCCATAGTCCTTCCTGCTTTTTGTTTATTGCTATTAATTTTATCATCATATTTATTTTTATTTTATAATTCAATTTTCTTTCATTTTTGCTTTTTTCTTACATAGGGGATATAACTTTTGAGCATCACAATTCAGCATGTCTAAAGTAGTAACTGGATTTAGTAGAATTTTAAAGTCATTTTCCAGAAAGAGTATATATTCATAATTAAAGTATATGAAAAGTTAAGAATTCTACAATTTTAATGTTTGAAGAGTATAGATACTTCCAGCTAGTTGATGGCACTGTATTTTGTATTTAATATGGAGACATTAAAATCTGTATGATGTAAAATTTTTGGACTCTGGGAATCTCTGACTTTAATGATTTTTTTTTAATTAAAAAGAACATTAGTGGTCCTGATGGTTGAACAACAGTGTGAATGTACTTAATGCCATTTGTTAAGAAACGTAATTCAACTGAGTAGATATTATTCTTTATTTTTAAAGATTTTATTTATTTATTCATGGTGGCACAGAGAGGCAGAGACATAGGCAGGGGGAGAAGCAGGCTGTGGGACTTGACCCCTAGACGCTGGAATCAAGTCCGACTGTGAGCCAAAGGCAGACACTTAACCACTGAGCCACCCCGGCATCTCTCAACTGGGTAAATTTTAAAGATCTTTTGGGGTTTATTCAGTAGTTCATGAATTGGGCAGCAGCCACAGTGTAGTAGATAAAAAGTAGTCCTATTATGCTGTACAAAATGAAAGACATCTTTAGGCAGAAGAGAGCAGAAACAAGGAAATAATACTAGGTGAGAAAATGGGTTGATTCTTGCAAGGTCACTTTCTATAGGGGTGAGCAGGGAGCCAGGACCCTGGGATCATGACCTGAGCTGAGGGCAGATGGTTAACCGACTGAGCCTCCCAGGCACCCCCTGATTGACTGTTTTAAGATTCCATTTCTGGAAGAGCCAAAACTAGTTACATCTCAAACATTATATGGGGCTTAGCATAAGTGACTCCATTTTGGACCTTGAATTATCTTTTTAACACACTGAAGTATGCACTTAAAAGTGAGGTGGTAAATTTTGTTATATTCATTTTACTACAATTTATAAAAAGAGATCATTAGCTATTATGTCCATGTCTCACATTAAGGATGAAAGATGTTCATTGGTGTGAAAATCTGAATCTTACAGTACTGTACAGATGGGATGAGCCGAACATATTGGTGTCAGTAGGGTAGGTTGATGTGTATTTCTTTCTTCAATCATAGATGATTTTCACTCGTTTCCTAATGTGAAATTTATTTTTTTTTTTAACAGGAAGGAAAAACTGATGCGATGTTCTCAATGCCGAGTTGCCAAATACTGTAGTGCTAAGTGTCAGGTAAGAATGTTCAGCTACAGGGGCACCTGGGTGGCTCAGTTGGCTCAGGTCATGATCTCAGGGTCATGAGATCGAGCCCTGTGTTGGACTCCCACTTCAGTCTGTAGTCTACTTCTCCCTTTCTCTTTGCTCCTCCCTTCATACTCTCTGTCTCCGAAATAAATAAATAAAAAGAATGTTCAAGTGAAACTTTCAAGGTCTCTGCTCTAATTTCTCTTTTTTTTTTCAATCTTTGATTAATTTTAACTTGTTATTTTCCTTCAATTTAAAAGTTAATAATGTGTATGGTAAAAATTCATATATGTATGAAGTCTTTATATATAAACTAAATACATAATATCCATATATTGTGAAAAAAAGTTCATTCCTCTCTTCTTGTCCTCCTGACCTCAGTCTCATTGCCCAGAGATATATCCACTGTTAAACTTATTCTTTGTCTTTGCAGTATTTTCTTGTGCAGACACATTCACATTTTTATATTCTTTGTTTAGAAAAACAGAGTTGGATTATTCTTGTATACCTAAATTCTCCTTTTCATTTTATAATCTGCCTAGAGGACCGTTTGTTGTCATCTGATTCTGTTATGTGAATGAACCATGATTGTTTCTTCCTCATTAATGAATACTTAACTTTTTTTTCAATATTTGGTACTCCCAGTAATGGACCAAGCGTCTTCTTTTGCACATTTTTGCACACCTCCAGAAATTAATTGTAGGATAAATTCTTCCTGGCTGTATCGATGAGTAAATGGGAGCTTGATTTCGAATTTTTAAAGATTGCCTTCCAAGAGTTTTATTTAGGACAACCAACAGAGTCTGTGAGAGTATCACTGTTAATGGTTTTGAAATTCTTCAAAGGATGTGTAATTAACATTCAACATAACCTTTTCTTCTAACCTTATCATTTCATAAGAAATGCAATTATACTATAATGAATTGCATCATAATAAAAAGTGTAATTGGAGGTTTTATGTTGTGTCACTTGCTCTCAACCTTCTACCCATCCTTTTTGTTTCTCATTTTGGAGTGTGTGAGTATGTCCCCACACACCTAGCCTTCCTCTTTTCCTTTTTTCACATCTAGGCCATACTTATCTGAGGGCTTTTCTGCTATCTCACTTTCTCCTTTGAAAGTAATGTCTCCAGACTGCAAATAGTGTTCTTACCAGAAAAGAAACATACGTGTACAAATTAATCAGAAGAACCAAGTTCTAATGACAGTTATGCAATTAGCTTGTTAAATTATCTCAAGAAAGCCTGTAAATTCTTTGGGCCTCAGTTTCCTAATCTGTACTACCAATAAGAGCTAATATTTACGAGACGTCTATTGTGTGTCAAGTACTGTTTTATTCTGTTTATTCTTACAAGAATCTTGGGGGGATCACTATCATTGTGCTCATTTTACCAGTAAGGGGACTGAGCTCCAGAATCATAAGCAACCTGCCAAACATCCTACACTGAATAGGCCCTGGAATTTGGGAAATGAACCCAGGATAGTCAGTATCCAGAGCTCTTAATTTCTCTTCCACACCCAAATTTTATTTTTGCTCTTACATTCTGATTAGGTGTAGCTTTCTGTTTCCTATTGTAGCCACATTTTTTTTCCTAGCATTTGTTTTGTTTTTAATAAGGGAGCATCCTATCCCCAAGGAACACAAAATAAAAAAAATACTTATATAGAAGGTTAGAAGTAACACTTTCCTAATAAAAATATGGAATGTGAAAAATAATTGGATTATTTTTGCTTCATTTTGTAAAGCAAAAATTCTGTCACAGAAAGACACCAGTTTTATGTAAGATTGTTAGTAATAATAAGAAAAAGCAAAATATGAAAGCAAAGACATTCTTTTTTCTACAAGATAAGTTCTAGATAGTCTATTTTATAGTGATGTTATCTAATTCATGTGAAACTGAGATTCATTTCAGGGAACTTCAAATTAAGATGACTGTATATAGAACCTTCAAATTACATATATCTTTGGCTGAACTTCCTTTATAGTCTCAATGACCTAAACATTTATTATTTTTCCTCTGTTTTTATGAGTGTTTTTTCTTCAATGGTTCTTCCTCCTTTTGTAGTACACTCAAGGAAAAAAACATCCATTATCTGATTAGAATGTGTAGAGGGAGTTTGATGGGTGGGTATGTCATTTTGATTCATTGTTGTGCATATACTTTTACCACATATATTAGCTGTTTACTGAACATCAATAATAATATCATTGTCAGATGTACTGTAGAAAGTAATGGAAAATAGCTAGTAAGATGAAAGATATCTTACATAAGCCAACTAGTTCACATCTTGTGTATAAGAAAGGAATGGGATGGTTGTAGAGGTAGGATGGGAGTCAAAGATTGGCCAGAACATATGCATTTAAACAGCTCTGTTTAGCTCACCCTTCAGGTACAGAATTAAACATTGTAATTATTGTGGTTCCTACAAAGCCTCACAAAATTAAACTGACAAACTGAACTCTGAACAGTAATGAACAGGAGGTGAATGCCCTCCGAATGGAAATTGATAGAGAGGATGTGAATTTGTAGCATAAAATCTATAATATGTTTGCCCTGGAGGAACATAACTTTGGTTCATTAGCTTAGCATTTGATGTGTGGGGCTGTGGCATCGAGTTATCTCAAAGAGGCTACTGTGGTATTATGAAGTGTAGAGTCCCTCGCGCTCCTAATGTTGGTTTCAGTGTCATTGCTTTCCAGATTTCATTTTTAAAAAATATTTTATATATGTATTAGAGAGAGAATGAGAATGAGCAGGAAAGGGGCAGAGGCCAGAGAGAAGCAGACTCCCCACTGAGCAGGGAGCCCGATGCAGGGCTTGATCCAGGGACCCTGAGATCATGACCTGAGCCAAAGGCAGATCCTTCATTGACTGAGCCACCCAGGTGCCCCTCAAATTTCATTTTTAAACAGAAGAGTAAATGAAGAAGGGTGAATGTTTCCTCCAGCTTCCTTTCTCATTCCTATTTCTATTTTCCAGAGGTAATCTCTGTGTGTTTGTTTTTTGAGTGGAGGATACATGCCAAACTTTAGTCTACACTTCATATGTAGTGTACACAGATATGTATATATTGACTGCTATGTTCAGTACTCTTTCTTATACTGGCTACTGTAGTTTGTTATCAGTGGCTTTGTATTCCTCTGTGTACACTTTATTATATCATATAATGCAATAGAGAGTTAATATAGGGGAACCAGTCGTATTTCTTTTTTTTTTTTTTTTTAAAGATTTTTAATTTATTTATTGAGAGAGAGAGAGGCAGAGACACAGGCAGAGGGAGAAGCAGGCACCATGCAGGGAGCCCGACGTGGGACTCCATCCCGGGTCTCCAGGATCATGCCCTGGCCTGCAGGTGGCGTTAAACCGCTGTGCCACCGGGACTGCCCTTATTTCTATATTACCAGAACATTACAGGTGATTTTGAGATGAAAGAGGAAGAGCAGGTTAAGTTTTCTTTTAATGTATAAACCAATTTCAAGCTAATTCACCAATTGCTATTTTACCTCTGCTGGATTTAATTTGATTCATAAAATGTATGTTTCTAATTGAATTAATTGCCACGCAAAATAAGCAGCCGGGTACTGTAACAAATTGTAATTTATATACTTTAAAAAAATACTATATTAGCAGGGAGAGGCTCTATTTTATGTTAATAATTATAGATCTCTTTAAAAAATGTAAATCTTATTTGTGGGTTCACATTTTATGCTTAGTTACAGAATGATCTGATTCGATTATGATGAATCTCATATTAGTTGGCACTAACAGGGTGATCTAATAAATTGGGGTTTAGAATATCACACTCAATAATGGTAATAATGCAGAAAGCCAAACCTTTTGTTTGTTTCAAAAATAGCCCTGTGCCTGGCTTCAGACAGATAGGACAGGCACTGAGTGTTCTGTAGAGGAGTTGGCTTTCTATCTAATTGTAAATAAAAAGAGAATACCATATAAGGGTTGAAAGTATTTGATCATATTTGTTTTTGACTTCTACAAACGTCTGGGGCCGTACGCTTGTCTCTGCTTCCTTTGCATTCACCTGCTGAGTGGTCCCATCTGCTCCCATGACTTCACTTGGCATCTGTATATTAATCATTCTCCAACCTTCTCCTTTCTCCCAAGCACCAGACCCATACGTTCAGTGTACCTCTACTTTGGTGGTGCACTCATATCTTAGTTGCCATATAGCAGGACTTTATGCATGATCTTCACCCAAATCTGCTTTTCTTCACAATTTTCAGCCTCAGTGAATAATTCACCAACCACTTAGCAGTCCGAGATGCCAGGCTGGAATCATCTTTGGTTCATATCATTTCTTGGCCCATGCCTAGTTAATGAACATATCCTGCTGATTTTAGTATCTAAGATCTAAATTGGTTTGCGTCTCTCTAGCCTCTCCACCACCAGCAATCTGTGTGTGCTCTCGGCTACACTGACTGCAGTTTTTGCCCCCCTGCCAGCTCTTTTTCTACTTCCTACATGGGAGCCAAAGCAACTGTTTTATCCTAGAGTGTCAGCATGCTCTGTCACTCACCTGTAGAAGACCCTGGCCCTTTTCCTCAGGATGAAATTCAAGCTTGTGGACTTTGCCGTGCTTTTACTTCTGAGCCTTTGGGCTTGGACCCAGACCTGATCCCCCAGCTACTGAACTCCTGCTACTTATTCTTTATATCCCAGATTAAATGTCACTCCCTCCTTTCCTAAACTTCTGAGACTAGTTTGTGTCCCTCCTTTTTCACACAGAAATTATCTTCATTATTGGTTTAATTGGCTGGTTTTGCAGGCAGATGGTCAGGCTTGTTCAAGGGGTACTCTGTATAGTTCACTGATGTGGATGTAGCATGAGTGGTTAAGTGAATGAGTGAATACATACATTAGCAATACTTGTTTAGAATTAGATTTTAAAATATTAACTTATCTTTAAATAATCTGTAGTAATCTATGTTTTGATTTTTTTTAATTTTTACTTATTTATGATAGTCACACA